TATACCACATGGATTAATTGAATAAAACAACTTGAGCTTACTGAGAAATTAGAACCCGGGTCTGCTTGAGTTAAAATCACTGCACTGGATCACCATTACATTAACCGTAAATTCAAAAATACTTACTATAACCCGGTCGTTTTCATACCGCAGCCATAGCACCTTCGGGGGTGGATGGCCATCAACCTTACAGCTGAGGGTAGCTTGCGATCCAGCCTCCACTTCCACGTTCTTGGGACGCTCTAGGAAGGTTGGTCCATCTAGACAAAAAAAAAGTATTGAAACATAGAGTTAGCGCCATCTATCAAAAAACTGTGAGGTTGAAGAGCACTAACGTAATAGCCAGCACTAGAGTCAAAGAGCCTACGAGTATTAAAATTACACCATGCTTCTCATTGAATTTATGTCAATCTTTATTGTCTTAAAATTATAATATCATTAGTATCACAAGATTTGTTATTATGAATTTTATTGTAATATTGACATTCTTACTTGACATATCATTTACATGCCAATATCTTGGTAAAACAGTCATGTTGTACCTATCACCTGTTAAAACTATAAGACCAAATCATGTTGCTCTGTAATATGTTTTCACACATGTTTGTTTATGTAAAAAAATATCTTTATCTTTAAGATACGAAAATTTTTCAATCAAATAATGAATAATATCTTAATGATGAATAATAGATGTTTTTTCAACACTAAGCTCACATTTCTCTATCAAATAAATGTCAGGATCAAAAAATGAATATGGCGACATCATAGCTCCTTTTAAAAGCTTTATGGCAAAAAATAAATGAATAACTTTTGAATGAAATGGCAAAAAATAAATTAATAATATTGACAGAGAAACAAACTCAAGGGAAGGAAACATGGTCATAAACTTGCATCCAAATACAGAGTGCTTTAACTTCCATGTTGACATTGTATTGTATTAACATAACACCGGTCTAATGGGGTACTAATCCCTTGGAAGTCCGTTAAGTCACTGGCTGTAATGCGGGTTTATCGACATGTGAATTTGAGGCAATATCGATAAATTAGCGGACAATAGAGCTCAGCACTAGTGATGGGAGAACATAAAATATGTATAATTATGTCACCGTAAAATTGTGAATTCCGTCAGATTATAATCTGACGTAGTTAAATTACAATATAACCTGACCTAACCCACTGTTAGTTTACAATCTAACGCGTTATATTATAAACTGACAGAGTTCACAATTTCACTTTGACATAATTATACAATACGGAGAAGTGATGAGAAGACATGAATCGATAAATTAAAGGACAATAACTATACAGAATAGAATACCTTATAATAGACCTTCACTGTTTGTGTTTTTATTGGCGGTCAAGCTGTAGATCCTGGCTACACAGGAGTTGCAGCGGTGGGAACGAGAAGTGGGAATAGTCCCGTATTCAAAATACGTGGACTCATTGACAGAGAGAGACTTTACTTATAATATATGTGTATAGGAGAGTATGATTTTAAAAAAATTAATAAATCTGTCTCAGATTCAGATGGGAACTGACCTTTCGCTCGCCAGGCGACTGCTCTGCTACTCCTAATGCTTCTTCTTCTTGTCGTGTCGACAACAAACCTACACAGTGTCTGCCCAAAACTCCGCCACAAGAGTGGCGTTGTCAGTAGACTTCATTAAATCTTCCTGCGTGCAATCCCAATGCTAAAAAAATAATACTTACATGCCACTTCCAAGGTCTTCGTATCGGCACTCTTTCCAATGATATTGTGCACCTCACACTTGACTGTAGCCTCGTTGTAAGACCGGGATATGTTTTTCAGTACCTATAACAAAATACATTATATTGAAACACCATTCTTTTGAATACAAAGTAAGTATCTAGTCTGTGAAAGTTTAATAGCTAATTAAACTTGATAGTTTCGATATCCAGCCTCTCATCATCATCATCGTCATCATCATTATCATCAAGACGTTTAGTCTCCACTGCAGGAGTATGACGCGTACGACACGTGGTCACCCCAAGCAAACTTGGCGGCGCATTGTGCAGACGAGGCGAAGAAAATCGGCTAGACCTGGAGCGAGATCAAACGCGAAGCTCAAGACCGAACGAGATGGAGGACTGTTGTGGACGCCCTCTGCCCCATCTAGGGGACATAGGACCTTAAGTCAAGTCAAGTCAAGCAGGAGTATGACCCTTCGAATCTTCTAAATAGTTATTACAGTTGTTCAACACCAATACAACTTTTTGAAACCACTACTTGTTTCAAATATTTACACAACCAAGACTCATGAAACTCGTTTCAATTTTTTTCAAACAAAATATACCCTCGCCAGGCTAAAGGATAACCGTGGTACAGTTTTGAAAACCCCCTCAACACACCTAATGAAAAATGTATATTGCAGGTGTACCGTGTGCCAAGAAGAAATTTGAAAATTCTCCTCCGGCAGGAAATGCTCTCTGGTACATGCAAATGCAGCCTGTAAAATTAATACGGAGGGAATATATGGGAGTCTTTATTACAGAGCATCCTGCTAACAAAATTATGTGGAGCTAAATGAATTGTTAAGTAAGCTACTTTATGGATACGGGAAATGAGCGTTAGGCAAATGTTTTTAACAATGGAAATAATGTGCATTTATAACGAACTATAAAGAATAAACGGTGTAATATTAAAATTAAGAAAAAGAGGTTTTGGTAGTTAACTTCTGTAAAATATATTTACGGACACATAAGTACCATTTTGTGCAGTTTGTAGTTTATATTTTTCTCTATTTTTAAAGAATAACCTCAATAATAGGGCAGCAAGGTTCTGGTGTAGGCCACGTACCGGAAAGCGCGTCGTAGGTCGTACACCCACAAAGTTAGACTGATGACCTCATAAAGGTAGCAGGAAGACGCTGGATGCAGGCCGCTACCAACCGGTCATTATGGAAATCATTGGGGGACGCCTATGTTCAGCAGTGGACGTCCAATGGCTGAAATGATGACGTAAAATAAAAAGAACTTACCAGCTCACTGCTGTCACCAGCTATCTGATCATTGTTCACGTACCACTTGTATGTGAGTTCGTTAGGGTTGGCAGACGCTTGACAACCTGTAAAAAAGTACTGTAGTTAGAAAAATAGAGCTAGTTTTGTAACAACAGCTATAGGGATTATTGTCGTACATAACTACAGTAAAAAACATAAACACATATGATGGACTTATTGTAGTAGTTTAAGACCTGTACCATATTTCAAGAAATAAATAATTTGAATTTGAATTTGACAGTTAATACACTAATTTGGCGTATTATACTATTGAAATTAATCTTACTTATAATAATAATAATAATAAATAAATCTTTGGACAATTTCACACAGCGCCAGCTAGCCCCAAAGTAAGCAACTTAATGCTTGTGTTATGGGTGCTAACTTAACGGATATACTACTTATATACTTTTTTTTTTAAATACATACATATCATACATAGTCACACCCAGACCCGTCACAGAAATTAAAATTCATCATTTCAATTTCTGCCCGGCCGGGAATCGAACCCGGGACCTCTCGGCATAGTAGTCCGTTCTGAACCACTACACCAGACGGCCGACTTATACATAATAAGATACAAAGATACTTTAATAACTTAATCACATTATGTTTTTGGCGGAAAAATGACAATCTTAGTCCTTCTACAACTTCAAATCTTCTATACAAAAAGTTCATCAACATTAATTCAATGACTCAGGCGCGAAAAAATCGCACCAAACTAACAATAATTACCTTAAACTTTAACCTTTGCTTAATTGGTATAGAGTCGCCTTCTATTTACAATTTTTACTTCTATAATAATATCTTTGATTCGTAATAATTGGCAAACATCCTATCAGCCATGTTTTAATTAAATTAAATCATTAATTAAGCATCAACTTATTATCAAAAATGCACTGTCAGCGATGTAACACAAAATTTAATTACTCATTTATCATGAACTCCCAGTTGAACTTACTGCATCCAACTTAAAACGACAAAATCACAGAAGAAGAAGTTTAGTTTCAAATTTTAATTATAGGTTATATTTTTAGCATATCTAGAAGCATTGACAATCTTTACAAAAGTATAGAAATCGGTAATCATTGAAATGTAAAAAATATTTTATTTTGAACTAGCTCTGCACTTAAGCCTGTAGGTATTAATAAATTTAGGAATCGAGAATACATTTTAGGACAATAATAAAAAAACCACACCGATCAAAATCATAATGCTCCTTATAATTTCTTGTTGTAGTCGGTCAAAAGTCATAAAGTATTGAGTATTTTTTAAAATAGGCTTTTAAAAAGCGATTTTACACATACACTATTGCTTTAACCCTACCACTGCTTCGTGACAATGAATAGACCAGTTCTGAGAAGAAGCAGCGCAAGTAACTCAGTCGTTCGTTTCAGCCGAAAGACGTCCACTGCTGGACAAAGGCCTCCCCCAAGGATTTCCACGTAGACCGATCCTGCGCCGCTCACATTCTCAGTCACCAAGTTAAAAAATGTTATCGGAAATGCTTCTACCACATTTCCGTTCACCAAAACCCAGTCTCCGAACAATAACTCACCCTCACACAGACCATTCGTGAGATTTATTTTTATTTCCGGCTTGGAACATGCATCATCTCATACGGGAACTGTTTTCATTCTTGTAATAATAATAAAAATGTTTCAAGCAACGCTAGACGCTTTAATATTGTATGAGAATAGAGTGAGCATTCGAAACTGAGGTCGCGATGTTTGAACTAGCTTTTGCACGCGGATTTGGTCTTTCACTGGAAATACTTTGATGGGAAAAAAACTGTGATGAAAACTATGTATAATATGTTTTACCGTTCGTTCGTTCTTTTTCAGCCGAAAGACGTCCACTGCTGGACAAAGGCCTCCCCCAAGGATTTCCACGAAGACCGATGCTGCGCCGCTTGCATCCAGGCACCTCCCGCGACCTTCACCAGATCGTCGGTCCACCTAGTGTGAGGCCTGCCCACGCTACGTCTTCCGGCTCGTGGTCGCCACTCAAGAACTTTCCTGCCCCAGCGGCCATCAGCTCTACGAGCTATGTGCCCCGCCCACTGCCACTTTATTTTAATAGCGATTCTGTGGGCTATGTCAGTCACTCTGGTTCTCCTGCGAATCTCCTCATTTCTGATTCGATCACGCAGGGAAACTCCGAGCATAGCACGCTCCATCGCCTTTTGGGTGACCTTNTTTCGTTCAAAAAATCTGTTCATAACCACTTTCTCCAAATGTTATCATCTTCATGAATGGTTTCTGTTTTAACTTATCGTCATCCATCATTATATCTATCATCTTAGTATGTATTTATTTATTATATTATTTTATATATTATTTATGTATGTGTTTAAGTAGCTTATTTGTTTTGCCGTCGCTTTGTTTTATTTAATTTTTGTTATACCGCCAAACTAATTTTTCTGCATAACCCAAAGGTAAACTGGATGAGAATGCCTTATGGCATTAAGTTCGCCTAATGTTAATATTTTTGGCATTGAAGTATAAATAAATAAATTTTGGCCACTTTGGTTGTCTCGAACTCTTTGGCGCTGACTTACCTAACTCTTTGACCTACCTACTAGTTCTTAATATATTGTTTTCAATACTCACAAAATAATGGTTACTGTGACTGGCCAATTCTTGAAATACTTATCTTTTGTTATTATACTACAACTGTACTTATATCCAACACTACTATATAGTGTCGAAACCGATGTTCAGTTCAGTAAACAGCGATTAGTTGCCAAATATCTTGTATAATTAGATGCAGGGAACGTTAGAGAAGCTTAAATAGGTTAATCTGTCCATAATGTCTGTCCAGCCGGCTACAAATAACTGGCGAACGAAACGCAAAAGTGTGGCAACAGCATTTAGAGATGGGAGTTAAAAGAACTGACTGCGCGTGGAAGAAAGAATTTCCCATTCAAAATGTAAAAGAAAATGCCAGAAGCTGATATCGGTCGCCTCTACAAGTATTGGACTAAAAATTGACTATCCTTTTGAACTGTTCGGTAGAACTTGCTTGAGTAATATTAGGGACATAGATTTTTAAACAAATTTTACTCTACTGACAGCTGTTCATATCTCCTCAAGCAATCGAGGAAATGGTGAAGATTTCCGTCTTAATCTCCAAAATAGTGGTGCAGGATTTAAATTGGAAAATATGCCATGATGTCGATACTTGATATTTTTATATGATTGCGATTATCATTTGATGTATTTAACTGTCCATTTTATTAATCCCATCGATCATGTTATTATAATTATCGCCATTGTTAACAGACAGTGTGTAGGCTGAGAATTTTAGTACAGCTCGAGTTATTAGTACTTGTTGCTCTAAAAAAAACCTCTTGAGATGGAGTTCAGAGAACTCTGACTAATAAATCTGATTATATTGAACTGTATTTGGGTAGACATATTGGCGTGTCAAAATAAAATTAAGTAAGTATTAGGCTAGGAAAATCAATGTGAAATCAGGAATTATTGTTTAGATTTTCAATGTAAATTCAGGCGAGTTTTCCCGATAGAAAATTCTAAATCGGTAGCTACAGGTAACTCAGCAGCTTTTGTAGCTACCAATAATTGATGAAAATGTATACTTTTTAGTATTATAAAGTGATGGTTTTTCATCCTAATTCACTTTTCATGAAACTGTGGAAGGTTCGCCGGAATTGTAAATAAATCGCTTTCCAATAAACATTTGACTGATTAGGAACTCTAAATGCTCTGCTATAGGTACCTAGTGTATCATCATCATCATCAACAGCCCTTTACAGTCCACTGCTGGACTATGAGCCTCCTCCACTATAGTGGAGGGTTTTGCCATAATCTCCACGCTTGGCAGGCGGGTTGGAGATCGCAGTTTAAAAGATTGATGTTTTTCAGAGAGCGCTGCTGCCCATTCTCTGTTTGATGAACCTAGTGTATAAGGCACCGCAAAGGTATGCATTATTATAATTTTTATTGCATACCGACCAAAATATGAAAATGGTGCCATGCATGCCATACCTTGCATATCGAATCTTCGATCATAGCTATAGCGAACTCATTAGTATCAGTCAAGTGGTGTCGATTCAGCCGGGCGTCGAACCCGCTGCCCCCGGTCACGGCCTCCGGGTATTTTTACTGTTTGGCAATTAGTTAGAAATAAATATAGGTCGGTTAAAGAACTGAGGGTTTCGGGGGTTCAGTTCTTGATTAAGAAAGCTGTTAGCTCTACATTTAGTTTATATTGCTTACGTAGATGGCGTCCCGTATAAAATGCTGTAAAATATTACTAGATTCAGTAAATCTGAGTCTGTCTGTACTATGACTGTTTAATTTTATTTATTTAGTTGCATGTGGTCTGTTTCTATATCTACTCTCTCCTATTATAAAACAAATAAAAATGTAGAGTTTCAATAAAATCCAGTCCTTTTAATTTAATCAAATTACTTTCAAGATAACTTTTTTTTTTCAAGTATGAAAGCTGAAAGTATATCGATGCTCTGAATCTGAATTTATCAAGTTTAAAAATATTCGCCGTTTTTCACCAATATGAGTAGGTACCTAGGTACTTACTGTGGGTGGTTGTTTAAAAATTATATCCTCCAAAAATTTCATTTAACAACATTATTTCGGCCAGCACTTGAAAAATCTAGCAGAAATAATCTGAAAACATAAAATGAAAAAAAAAAAAAAGTTATTATTTGCGTCACGTGTTGGTAAGCAAGTTCAATAAAACAATAGATTTCCTAGTTATCTGCGCAAGTAATTGAACGATATCAAAGACTTTGTCCTGGCTCGAGATTTGTTTAAAAAATTGTTGTTCGTCGTAAATTTAATGGCCGCTGGCAGGCGCGCATGCGTCGCTTGGACTCCCGCCAAAACTCGCTGTCAAAGAACCATAGAGTAACGTCAGATGCACTGGGTTTTTCATTGGCAAAGAGGTTTTATTGATCTTTCAGGATTAGGAAACTTACAGACGTTTTAATGGATTCCTTAAAAGATCAAAAGCAAAGGCATTACTTTGGTCGTGGACAAATGAGCACAAAAGTAAACGTCTAAAAACGATAACTTCTTACACGTTTAATATCCATATTACTTTGGACTAATGTTTACTCGTTTCTAGATAAATGTACTGAAGCTACTTTACACGCAGAAGTCTATAAAATAAGCAACACACAACATCTTAACAAAATTGGAATCGATTCTACACGTTCACGTAGTAATTATTAACTTACATGAAAGTCATGCGCCATCAGTAACATCTCACAAAACATGACATAAACAAATTTAATTAGACAGTATTTTTTAGCGTCAAATTATGATTTAATTGTTAAAATGGCGTCGTTGATGTACACAGAATGACGGCGAGCTGGCGCGCGAGATGCCACTCCCTATGGATCTGCCACCAGTAAGGAGTCGATTGAATCAGATATACCACTAGATTTCATTCGTTAGACACGACACTACACATTGGAAACAAACTTTATGGAAATTATCTTATTTGGCAATTTTTCTCAAAAGTTTTACTTCTGTCTGACTAAAAAGGTTCACAATATTAATACTTACTTTCCTATTCAATGAGACTGATAAAACTTTTTATGTCATACTATAAACAATAACTAGACGCTACGAAAGTTAGGACCGTAGTACAGGTACTTACTTAATGTAAAAGTGCTTTTTTAAAGCCTATTTGCAGAAATAATTTAGTTTTATGAGTTTTAACGCCAAAAATTAAATCAGAGGGATTGTACTCATTATTGAGAAATTCAATTAATCTTACATTATACTTGAGATTGCAATTGGCATCGAGCTCTAGTTTTCAGCATAATTTTATGATACTAAGAGCTACAGAGTTAGAACCATTTGGTGAGAGATTTTCATGAAGTTTGGTTTCAGGACAACTGTACATATTTTATACTCCACAAAAGTCATTTAGTGCCAGTGCGTTTCTCTTCTTATGAGTAACTAAATTTTTTCGTCTCTTAATTTAGGTTTAGTGGTTTCGCTTGGTATTTATAAGTATGTGTTTATTTGATAAAATACCAACCTATTAATTATATTTAACTTTTTGAAACTTGCTTGGTCCAAAAATAATTAAGATAATAACATTGTAAATACCTGCTTATTTATAATTGCATGTTTATTAAACTGTATCTTTTCTCTTACTATCTGTTATAATTTTCCTATTTCTAATTAGACTTGTGTATGTAAGAGTTAATTATTTTGTTCTAAAAGAAAACCATTTTATATAAAACAGTGAATTAAATACACATTGTAAGTAAACATGTATTAGCAGAGTTAATTAATTAATTTCCTTAAAATTATGTAGGTATATTTAAAAGGCTAAGGTTGTATGTTGGTGTGTCGTATTCGAGTAAACAATCATCTTTGTTACTCGAATAGACGATTACCAAAAATCATCATAATCGAAGCGAAGACGCAGCTTTATACAATAACTGCGTCATTATAGCGAATAGCGAAGCGGAATAAATTAGTCTAGACTGTACTCTTAGATGTCTCTGACTTTTAAACATGCTTATTTAGTAAAACGGGACTATTCCCACCTCTCGTTCCCACCGCTGCAACTCCTGTGTAGCCAGGATCTACAGCTTGACCGCCAATGAAACCCAACCAGTGAAGGTCAAATTTAATTTAGTAGGTAAGCGCTATGAAATAGCCGAAGACTGCAGATTCCTGATTGCCTTTAGCTGGAAATGCAATCACTTACTTATTTACTTCAGGCCTTCAAATTGGGTTGTATTTATGGGTTGTCATTGAAGTAACATTGAGTCACGTTATTTTGGAGCTCAATTATGTGTGATTAAGGAAAATTTTAGGTGGGTAATTGTCTCTACATGCCTACTTATCGTATCATATACAATACAGGATTCACCATAGAATCAAGTACTGGGGAGTTTATTTCCTTTAAAGATAATGTAAGGGTTTTCTACTATCAATTTTTCTTTTTCCATGGGTCCAGTTCAGATCCCAGGATGAATATTACAAAGTATCTATCAATCTACCAATGAGCCTCTTTCGACTGTTCTGCTCAGAATGGTCCAGTGCCCACTAAATACACATACTTTACCCTAATAAGACACCCGCGTTGCTTCACAGCGAGGGTCCCGGGGCCCTCTGAAAAATAACCATAGATACGCCACTGGTTCAGCTACGCTATTCGCTAGACCACCTATCGGGCTTCCATTATAATGTCCTGGACTGCCATTCCAGGAGAATATAGAGCACAAGCCGATCCTGCCGGGCGAGCGGGAGGTGGACCTCAATAAGATCTTCACGCCCGCGCCTGATGCTGAGGAGCACATCATCAAGAAGGACCGCAAGTTTGGTGAGTTTGAAACATTGATGAGTTAGACAGTTTATGATGGTGTTGATGAAAACTAAGTAACGTAAACGTGTTGACTATCATTATGCTTATGACACTGCGTTGGCCGTGTGGTTCCGACAGAGTAGAAAAAAATGACTCCCATTCTTCCCGTGGACATCGTAAAAAGCGACTAAGAGAAAAATATGCAAACATTTTAAATATCTTTCCCAAATCACCTGACCAGCATGGCGAATATAGTAGGATAAATCTTACATTGCCTCTGGTTCAGAGAGCACTTTTTTCATTAGAAAGGAACGTGTTTGAATCTACCATTCTTAGATTGTGATAAAGCACACCCATGTAGAAGTCACGCTATTTTTAAAAAATCATTTGAATGAACAGGAATGGCCGGCCCTAACTGGCTCTGAAGCGACACGACTAAGCTGCCATTTATTTATTTACTTACATTTATTTCTTATACCTTATCTTTTAAATGCAATGAAAGTAAGAAGTTTCTATCTCTATGTTTAAAATTTTCCAGAGAAGACATTCGCATCATCAGCGTTCTACGTGCCGGGCGTGCACCCAACCGTGAAGGAGCAGATGGACCTCGCGCGAGCCATCTCCAAGTCCCTGAGCGACTCCAGCAACCACATGAGCCGGGGGCAGAGCATGTACGTCAACAGGAAGAAGCGCTCCGTCAAGTGGGTGCACGAGGGACGAGGTACGACACCAGAATTGGTCTTATTATAGCAGCATTAGAGGTTACCGTTTAGTTTGCTAGCTAGCTGACGTCTCTACTTGGGAAAAACTACTACTGAGGTAAACGCTATTCACGCTACGAATTCTTCGATATCTCCAAGTCCCTGAGCGACTCCATTAACCACATGAGCCGGGGGCAGAGCATGTACGTCAATAGGAAGAAGCGCTCCGTCAAGTGGGTGCACGAGGGACGAGGTACGACACCAGAATTGGTCTTATTATAGCAGCATGAGAGGTCATTGTTTAACTTGACGTGCTGATGTCTCTACGTGGGAAATACTATATACTACGGTACACGCTAAGACTCCTTCGACATCTCCAAGTCCTTGAGCGACTCCAGCAACCACATGAGCCGGGGGCAGAGCATGTACGTCAACAGGAAGAAGCGCTCCGTCAAGTGGGTGCACGAGGGACGAGGTAAGAAGGGTCTTATTTATGGAAAATACTTCTACAGAACATGCTAGGGGTACTTCCAAAGGATTTCCCAAAAGAGACGATAGTAACTTGGCATCGGACCGTTCCACATCTCCAAGTATGTGACTTCAGCAACCACATGAGCCGGGGGCAGAGCATGTACTTCAACAGGAAGAAGCGCTCCGTCAAGTGGGTGCACGAGGGACGAGGTACGACACCAGAATTGGTCTTATTATAGCAGCATTAGAAGTCACTGTTTAGCTTGCAGGCTAGCTGACGTCTCTACTTGGGAAATACTACTACCGAGGTAAACGCTATTCACGCTACGAATTCTTCGACATCTCCAAGTCTCCGAGCAACTCCAAGAACCACATGAGCCGGGGACAGAGCATGTACGTCAACAGGAAGAAGCGCTCCGTCAAGTGGGTGCACGAGGGACGAGGTAAGATCATAAGATGACACAGAATAGCTTCTATCACTTGCATTACATTCTAGTTGAAGCCGCTGTCTGACTGTGCTAGTTGTTTCGCTAAGAGACTCCTTCCAAATGCTTTCCCAAAACAGGCGATAATAGCCTAACACTAATGGCGCCGGCATCGGACTGCCCCAACTCGATATCTCCAAGTCTCTAAGCGCTCCATCAAGTGGGTGCACGAAGGACGAGGTAAGAAGGGTCTAATCAATGACAATACTGCTACAGAACACGCTAGGGCTAAGGGTACTTCCAAAGGATTTCCCAAAAGAGACGATAGTAACTTGGCATCGGACCGTTCCACATCTCCAAGTCTGTGACTCCAGCAACCACATGAGCCGGGGGCAGAGCATGTACGTCAACAGGAAGAAGCGCTCCGTCAAGTGGGTGCACGAGGGACGAAGTAAGAAGGGTCTTATTTATGGAAAATACTTCTACAGAACATGCTAGGGGTACTTTCAAAGGACATCCCAAAAAAGGCGATATTCTTTTCGTGTCGACAACAAACCTACACAGTTTCAGCCCAAAACTCCGCCACAAGAGTGGCGTTGTCAGCAGCACTCATCAAATCCTCCTGAGTGCAGTTGCTTGGGCACTCAGGGCACTACAAAAGACGATAGTAACTTGGCATCGGACCGTTCCACATCTCAAAGTCTGTGACTCCAGCAATCACATGAGCCGGGGGCAGAGCATGTACGTCAACAGGAAGAAGCGCTCCGTCAAGTGGGTGCACGAGGGACGAGGTAAGAATAGCTCCTATACTATTACAACAACTGCCTTTAGATGCTACATGATGTATAAGGACGTTACATGCTAGGGCTCTTTCCAAAGGCTTTCTCAAAACAGGCAATTATAGCCTGGCATCGGAGCACCCAGATTAGAGATCTCCAAATCCCTCAGTGAATCCAGCAACCATAATATGAGCCGGGGGTCAAGTCAAATGGGTGCACGAGGGACGAGGTAAGATGGCTCAGTAGTAATGCTCCATGCCACAATTTAGCCTGATGCCACCGTTTATCTGGCACTACTACGGTACACGCTAGGACTCCTTCCAAACAAAGCGCTTAACAAAACAGGAGATAATAGCAAGTGGGTACAGACTGCAGAGGTGAGAAGACTTTAAAGATCCTTTGGGTTTTCGACTACATTTTGAGAAGGCGTTAGTCGTGCGTTTGCGACTGACGACCTTTCGACTGAAGAAGAAGAAAGGTTTATTTGGAAGACCTCTAAACCAAGAAAATACTGCTACAGAACACGCCCGAACTCCTTCCAAAGGCATCCAAATTGCAACAAACAAGCACCTGTCCATGGTTATCAACTCTGTGGTCAACATGTCAAGTATTTGCGATTATCGTCATGCGATGATTCCATCGACATCATCACACAGCTGCCAAGCTGTCATCTCCCATCAGACACTTCGCACCCTTAGAATGAAAGTGACCTAACTCAAAATTCCTGTTACTCTCGATTTCACCATAAACTGACCTCATAAAGCATGCTCTATATCCCTGTATAGATAAAGTGACCTATCTCTTAGTAAAGGCAGAGCAACGCATACTTCGGTCTCTTTCACTAGTCCCGCTTTTCATGTATGCATATTGTGTGAAAGAGGCAGAACTAGTTTTACGACGGCGGTGCTTGCGAGTGTACGTGTAAAATATCGGCGGATCTCGAATTGTATCTGTTTATTACAAAAATACTGTAAAGGTAAGTTCATGATTTTTTTGTCATAAAGTGACCTTTTAATAAATAGGTCTGTATTTAAACTAAATATGTTAGAGTATTCAGTGTTCATTTATGGATTCGGTCTGTTTAGTTAAAAATATAAATGAAGGATACACGACACTTTTACGAATAGGACTATTTATGACTGAACTAACCTAATTTAGTTTTGATATTTTTGATATTGCGCCTGTGTAGAAGAAAAAATAAAAAGGACTTTTGTTGACGTTACCGTCCGCCGTCTTCAGCATCGTTAGCTGACTTTGCTCAATAGTTGTCTCTTTCAGGTAATTTGGAACCTTGGTTTCGCAAGACAACTTAGTGTTCACCAATGAAGTCGGAAGCATCAATGACTAGTTCTTTTAGTTGGTGATATGTATTTGATGCCTCCGACCACATTTGCAAACACTAAGTTGTCTTCGTTCTATCTTTTCTGTTTATTTTTTTAATATTCGAATATTCGAATACATGTTAATTTACTATTCGAATATTAAATTTGGAATCTAAATTCGAATATTCGAATATTCGAATATTCGATTGCAACCCCTACTCATAACACAACTGCATAAGATGCCACAGCTTAACTTGACGTGCTGACGTCTATATGTGGCAAATACTATACTACGGTTCACGCTACGAATCCTTCGATATCTCAAAGTCTTTAAGTGACTCAAGCAAACTTAGCTTTAGCTTCTATTACTTGCATTATATTCTAGTTGATGCCGCTGTCTGACCGTGCTAGTTGTCCCGCTGATACTCCTTCCAAAAGGTTTTCCTAAAACAGGCGATAATAGCCTAATACTAATGGTGTCGGCATCGGACTGCCCCAACTCGATATCTCCAAGTCTCTAAGCGCTCCATCAAGTGGGTGCACGAGGGACGAGGTAAGAAGGGTCTAATCAATGACAATACTGCTACAGAACACGCTAGGGCTAAGGGTACTTCCAAAGGATTTCCCAAAAGAGACGATAGTAACTTGGCATGGGACCGTTCCACATCTCCAAGTCTGTGACTCCAGCAACCACATGAGCCTGGGGCAGAGCATGTACGTCAATAGGAAGAAGCGCTCCGTCAAGTGGGTGCACGAGGGACGAGGTAAGAAGGGTCTAATCAATGACAATACTGCTACAGAACACGCTAGGGGTACTTCCAAAGGATTTTTCAAAAAAGGCGATCTTCTTTTCGTGTCGACAACAAACCTACACAGTTTCAGCCCAAAACNCTCTGGCTAATCCAGCGCCTTTTGCAATCCATCTGGACTATTTACTGTTGATTTTACATAAATTTATCAAAAAATACCCTGACACATAAAAACAGAAACTGACTGCCTGATTTATCAACATAAATCCCAAACTGGTGGGTATAAAGACACAAAGTTTGGCATGTAGGTTCCTTATTAGGGTTTAGGGGTGTTATGAGAAAGGATTTTTCCAAAATTACCCCCTAAGGGGGTGAAATGGGGGTCCAAAGTTTGTAGGGCGAAACAAAATTAGTTACACTATTTAATTCGAAACTTCACAGGATACATTCCTATCGATAAATGAATAAACACGTGTTTCAGGTTATTTCAGAATTCAACCTCTAAAAGGGGGAAATTGGGTAAAAATGTCTAAAAATCAACATAAGTATTTATTACTGATACATGGCATTGTCCGTTTCAAGTGACATAACATTTGTAACCTTGAAATGAATGGAAAAAAATGGATATTTTTTTACAGTTTTGGCAATAACCGTCAGTTTTATTCGTTAATATTCTAAAATCAATCAATAAAGCACAAGAACAAGTGTAATACCTACAGTATTGCCACATTTATCAAGAGTGAAAATTTGACATTGCTGTTGCATTTATTCAACTGTCTTGATTTTTATAATTCGCGGCTTTTTATTGAACTACAGCCCCGTGTTTCACATAAAATATAATGCTTTTTATAAAATATCCCTTGAAAGTCGATAAATTTCTTTAATTTAGATTCTGTAAGCAATTATTTGGCATGTCCTTTAAAACGGACAAAAACCATTTAAGGGTTAAAATGTCACGTTTGCTTATGTGTTTTCAGTTACAAATTAAACAATACAATCCCAGTAGGTAGACATTTGTTAGTTTTTACTAAGGAGGTACTACAAGATTCTAGAAATTGTTAGCGTTTCTGTTATACAGTATACCTACTTAATAATATGGAAAAAGCCATAGAAGTAATATGCTGACGTGCATAAGCAAGCAGTGTGTTAGATTCGTACACATACTCACTCACAAATTGGATATTAAATACAAATAGTCTGAAACCAACTTATTCACCAATACCATAATTTGCTAAATCAAGCCATCAATCATAGGTAGGGGAGACCTAGGAGAGTTGTGACAATTTTTACTTTAGGGGCCATATCTTGGTCAAAAAAC